GAAAAGTCTTATTTCGTTATTTTTGCTAACACATTCTAATTGTACAGATAAATATACATATTTTTGAGTGCATATGTCTATATATATATATATATATATATATATATATATATATATATATATATATATACGTATTTGTATGTGCACACACATATCTATGCAGGGAGTCCTAAAAAATAACTAATTTGTTAAAAGCAGCTGTAGTTATCACTGAAAATAAATTAAAACACTTGAATATAAAGGAAGACATTCGACTAAAAGAGCGAAAGACAGTTCGATGTTTCCGTTCAAATGATGGTTGATTTGAAATGTTTAAGGAAAGTTTGACAGATTTATTAAAAGATGGCGTGCTAATCATACACACGTTTTTAATTGTACGCACGGTTTTTGTTTATTTTTAATCCAAGGGAAATATCAGTTATCAAAAGATATTTTACATGATTTATAATAGTCTCTGTTTAATTTTAATATGAATCACTATCAGTTAATAATCAAAGCTCCTGCATAGAAATAGAAGGAGCATGCATGTTGAGGGGCAGTCTTCACAGACACAAATATAAGTTTATTCATTTATTTTTCTGTGTTGCCAAGTTCGTCAATGGCTGCAACAAATATATGTATGTATGTATGTATGTAGTCAATAAATTAATAAATGTGCAATCGACTTATCTGTTGACTGACTTCAAAATTTCGAGCAATACAGGTCATCTTGGTCGGAGGGTAGGATGAATCAGAAGATCCAATTAAAGATGAGCGGGGGTACTCAAAAATTTGGAGCCGGTCAAGTGATAAGTCGCTACAATATTTACTAATCTAGTTACTATTTCTGCTCTATCAACAGAAAAGACTTGGGCACCTCGAGGTGGTGTAATAGTTAGCAAGCTTGTCTCGCTAGAACAATTATGGATGAGTAGTGAGTTCGATCCTCACTAGGTGCTTACTTTCGGCCTAATATAAAATATTAAAGCTGATCCACAAAGAGATACTCGCAAGGATTTTCAAACCGAAAGGTAATGAGAAAATCTTTTACCGATCTTAATTCGTAAGGTGAAATGATCATAACATGAGGTAATTTTAATTCCTTTTGTATGTTTTATTTATATATATATATATATATATATATATATATATATATATATATATATATATATATATATATATATATATATATATATATATATATATGTGTGGATATTATGGCATATGTATTTGTGTAAGTGTGTGTGTGTGTGCACATCAAACATATGTATACGCATATATGGATACGTACATATATATATATATATATATGTATTTATTTCTGGAGATTTCATACTTTATTTTGTTCAGGTTAGGTTTCAACTGTTTTATGTATATAGCTTCAAAATTTTTAGTTTTTGTTTATTGTTTTCATGTTTAAGTATAGTTGTATTTTCAACAAAGGATTTTCCGGAATTGTGTATGCGGCAAGGCATGTTGTTTTAAATGCCTAAAATCGTTGAAAACATAACTACACTTAAACATGAAAACAATAAACAAAACATGGATATATATATATATATATATATATATATATATATATATATATATATATATATGTCTGTGTGTGTGTGTATGTATTTAGGCAGTAAGTTTTCATTAATGCATGTTTCATTAAATAATATAGACAAGTTTTGTCTATTTATTTTAAGTAAGTTCCTTTCGTATTGTCTGGTAAGCTTAATAACATTATCATTGTAAGATGAGTTTGTCGTTGCTTTGAAATTTTTCATTCAACAAAAACAGACTATCATTATTGTTTCGTCCGTACATTGTTTGATATATTGAAAAGTAATTGTCATCTTTGATAAGGGCTTATGCAAGCCGAAAGGTTATATTGGATTTTTACATGTATCAATATGGCGATTTCCTTTCGTCTTTCAATGATAATGTGATTAAGCTTATCAGACAATATGAAAGGAACTTAAAATAAATAGACAAAACTTGTCAATGTTATTTAATGAAACATGCATTTAGTCCCTTTGTTAATGCAGTATTAATAATAATATATTATATAATAATTATTAATAATATTATCAACGCAGTAATAAACATATTAATACCATAATAACAGAAAATCATATAGCTAAACACCTATCGAGCCAGCCAGATATTTGACTTGCAAAACGTCTTAGTTTGTGTCTATGAATATATATATTTATTCGCAATAGATTGTACCAACGTCCTGCCATATTCGTCGACTTAATCAATGCTTTGTTGGTTTTGTTTCGGTTTCATTTTTTTTCCTCTGACGACATTTCTCTTTCGTAATGACGAAATGTTAAAATATTAACAATGATGGACTAATTTTAAGAACATATTTTCATTGCAAAAATGTTTTTTTTATTTCATTTAATTTTATCATCAGAACTGATTTTTTGTATTCTTCCAATTGTTAATGTCTCTGATCCACACCTAATTTAAAAAAAAAAATCGACTATGCTATTATTTTGAATGTAATACACTAAAGACAAAATAGTGTTAACTGAATACTCACGTGCGCGCACACACACACGCATATATATATATATATATATATATAAACATACACATGCAGACTTTATATATATATATATATATATATATATATATATATATATATATATATATATATATATGAGTCAATTGCTGATACTCCCTGACGAGTGGACGTGTCCGTCTGCGAAACTCTGGAGTCGGGATACTGAAGGTAACATCAATCAGCTAAGTCGCAAACATTTTGTTTATATATATATATATATATATATATATATATATATATATATATATATATGTAAACTATGAAGTTAAGAGCCAGGTAAACCTATCAAGGTTTCACATATGCGGATCGTCAGGGAGCACTGGTGGATCGTCAGTGTACCCTGAAGATCCGCATATGTGAAACCTAGGTAGGTTTACCTGGTTCTTTAACTTCATAGTTAGATTTGCACTATTTAGTGTATTGAGCACTTTACTTAGTTACTTTTGCTTTACTCGTTTTGGTGTTTTTTTTCTTTGGACTCTGAGCTTGGATTCTAGACGATTGTTTTCGCCTCAATTATATGTTCTTAGTTCTTTCTTTTTTTATTCCTTATTTTTCCTTGTGTATTGGTTTCTTCATTTACAAGTCAAAACACCTATGGTTTTTCCAGACGAGTATAACTATATATATATATATATATATATATATATATATATATATATATATATATATATATATATATGTATGTATGTATGGGTGGATGTGTAGGGTTAGCCTGGGATGTAGGGATGCAAAATTGTTTATATACTTGTATTCTGTAGATAGATACCCAATGTTGATGAGCAAATAAGAATATATGGTTGATTTTGATAATATTTCAATAATTATTTAGTTGTTTACATCATCATCAGAAATTTAGGGATGATGTGAAGAAACAGTTAAATAGTTACAATCTCTTCCTTTTTTCTTAACAAATATATATATATATATATATATATATAGCAGCTTGTTAGTAAGTATATTTAGAAGCATATATAAATGTATGTCTGAGTGGCATATTATAAATTGTCCTTACATATATATGTGTGTGTGTCTATGTCTGTATACATATACACTTACGTTTAATCTACTTGTACAGATATATGTATATATACTGTGTATGTATGTGGGTGTATGCGTTCTTGTGTGCATGCAGATTTGTGCATTTTATTTCATGTAGGCATCTCCATATATACGCACACATAACATACACGCACATGTCTATATATATATATATATATATATATATATATATATATATATATATATATATATATATAGCGTATCTGTATATATGTATATTTAATAGTTTATATATATATATATATATATATATATATATATATATATATATATATATATATATATATATATATATATATATGCGTGGGCTTTAATCAGAGCGCAATGTTCCCAAATTTCAGGTTGTGGATCAATTCGTTGGTTGTTCAGTCTACAGTTTGTACCACCATTTTTAAACCTTGCTCCAAAGTAAACCGATCTCAGTAAATATATATTAAAGCGTGTATATATATATATATATATATATATATATATATATATATATATATATATATGTATGTATATATATATATACGTGCATTATATATATGTATGTATGTATGTATGTATATATATATATATATATATATATATATATATATATATATATGCATGTATGTATATATAGGCGTGTGTGTGTATTATATATATGTATATATATATTTTTATATATATATATGCGTGTATGTATATAGGTGAGTGTGTATTACATATATATATGTATATCGCACGTAAATTATGTTCTTTTATTTGTAAATTGGGATGAGGAGATTAATTGTTCATTTCATTTTTTGTCTTTGATTTTCATCCTTCGCGAAATCTGTACTGTTTCATTTTCTTTCCTTTGTATTGAAAAATATCTTCTCTTTTTTTTTTCTTTCGTCAATTCCATAAAGCTTATATTTTTTTCATTTCGTTATTTTTTTCTTCTTTATTTCTTCTTGTCACTCTTCTTTTTCTTTTTCAATTGATCGGTTCTTTTTTTTTTGTTTTTGAATGACGTTTTCTTTTCTTGACGTGTTTTCTTGTTTTGTTTTGAATAATGAAACAATTAAACATATATATATATTCAGCCCATCATTACATTTTGAATTTCAGTGTGGATTATTCAAAGTGTTTCTTTACGTATTTTTTCTCCAATTTATAAAGTTTCTTTTTCATATTTTACATAGTTCGAGTGTTATTTTTACATTATTTATAACGTTCAGTTTCCGGTACAAAATAATTGAACTACAAGAATAACAACATCATTAATAATAATAATAATAATAATAATAATAATAATAATAATAATAATAATAATTGTTGTTCATACACCGGCCATTATCTCTACAGTTAGATTTTGCTGCGTGTTAAGGCCAAGTGCCAGTCTGCTGAGGCTAATAAAATAGAATTCTTTGATGTGTGGAAGAAGAAATGTTTAGGCCGCTTCGGTTGGGGGATTTTCCTTTACCATATTGGTGATTGGATCCATCTATAAAGAAAAAAAGAACGGTTTAAGCATTAGTGAACAGGTGGCGGAACGGTCTTCCAAGAGCGGAAGTCACGTGTCAAAAAACAGATAGGTTCAAAACAGGACATTTCAGTAGCTCATAAAAAAAAAAATACCCGGCATAGCATTACATTTTTCCCCCTCCCAATCAAAAGCATTACTAAGAATTATTTTCCTGAACCCTCTCTGGAGCTTCTTTTAGTCTTTAAATACCGTGGCAAACGAGACTTTGAAACATTTCTTTATCGAAGCTACAACACAGACACTTTGCACAAAATCCTAGTTTCACACCTAAAACCTTCTTTCCCTCCGTGGACTTACTGGCACATAAGTATTTTTCACCTCAATCGGATAGTTACTTTCTTTTTATTTGCCGTGTCATTTCAGGACGTAGGCGATCATAGATCTCCACTTCCCCATATACCTTGTGACTCTCAATAAGTTACATTCCTCCGCCACCTTCCCCAGACCACGTTTTGTCATTCGCTTGCTTAAGCCCGTCATGCATTGCTTTCCCTTGTCTCTCTTCCCCTCTATTCAACCTGTGAGTATCAGATTCTCCAAGCCCTTCTTTCTCACTAAGTGTCCCAGAAACTTTAGCTGCCTCTTCCTGATGTTAAGTATAAGACTCCTCCTTGTATGCATCTTCTCCAAAACATCATCGTTGCTCATAAAGCTCAATCTACGATATCCTCAGCATCCTTCTGCAGAACCACAGCTCCGTCACCTTGAGTCTCTTCTTCATCTTTGAGAAGACCGTCCAACATTCGCTGCCGTAAAGGAGGGCAGATGTCACGTAACAGCTCATTACTCTTTTCTTTGTTACCAAAGAAATCCTCCTGTCTCGTGTAATCCTCTGCCTAGCTTTTGGAATGCGTCCTTGGCCATCCTCCCAATACGTCTACAGATCTCAGTGTCGCACACTGTAATTTATTATTTTAAAAACCGCAAAACATTCTACCCCTAGAACAAGTTGGAGATGGGCGCGGAAAAAAAAACTTCGCCTCCTCAGTAAGTCACTTATGTGCCATACATGATAAATGCTTAGCTAATCATGTATCTTAGGATACATGACTGACGAGGCAGATTTTTCCCGCAGTAGGTTGCTATTTCTTTCTGCGGTAGACCAGTTGCCATCCAAGGCTATAGAACCCGGTTTGTCCTGCTATTTACGCATAGCTGGGGAGAGAAGAAGAGGATTCATACCTTTCCTACGGGTATTAGCACGTAAGTGAATGTAATGGATATACCCACTAAAAAAAATAAAAACATATATTTCGATCATTTTTTTTTTAATATGACTAGCTTTGTCGGGATCCATTTTGCTCTCATATAAATATTGCCGCAACTGATAGACATAGTTAATTCTGATTGGTACGAGGCTCAACCAAACATCTCTACTAATCTATATATTAATAGATTCAAATATCGAGGCCTTTAGCAACGGTTCCACCGATAAACCTACAAAGGAACACTTGTCAAGTTGCCTGCATCTATTTTATGTTGGACGAAATCCACACTTGATGGATCAAACAGAGAGAACAAAGTGTCCCATGGAACTGGCCTACGTGTGAACTGTCACGAACATGTGTGTAGTGTTGCTTTTCAGTCACTGATACATTTATAAAACGGTAATAAATGTTTTTACTTATTTTAATACGGTCTTCTTTTACGCCTTGAACTTCTGAAAAATGTTGACCCCCAATGAAAAAAAAAAGAAAAAAAAAAGAACAACAAATTGGTGACCTCGATGAAACATCAGCAATAGATTTACCTCCTGCTTCCATAGGTAAACATATGCGACTGGTGCCTTGCTGTCAGACAATGCATTCAACGATAAAATAATACAAGATTATTAGAAACCACTTACATTTTTGACTGGTTCACAAACGGGCACACGGCATAATCTTCTTTCTATTTTGGGAGGACAGATTTTGCCGCCTCTTCTTGGCTTCACCATTCGTTTACGCCTGCGCACTTGCATCACTTTCATACCGCATGTCGCCTGACATGAGCTCCATTCCTGCCACTCGGACATCTTACAGTCGATGGCTGCGGAGAAAGAAAGCACGAACGGTAAATAAGGCTGGACTGGTGAGTCTGGCAGAGTTGCATATTTTCTCATAACACTAGCGATCAGATAAAAGCTGCAGATCTGAATGTTTATTTTTCAAAACAAGTTTACTCTCCCCAAGTTAATTCAAGCAAAATAATCGTTATGTCACTATTTCTTCTCTTATTAGAGTTTGTCGTACTTAGTAAATTTTAGTAAAGCCTGAATGGTAAGTTGGATATATGAGGTGCCAATTTTTAGGCCTATTAAAATCCAAGATTTTTAAGGTAAGAATTTCAGAGAATAGTTGCAGCATAACCTTTCTTCTTCGTTTCTAATCTTTTGCTATATTATATTATATATATATTATTAAATTCCTTGAGGAAACAAAGGGCCGCAAAATATCAATGTGGTTTCTATAACAAGCCAGTTTTTAAGTGAGTTGGCTGCCCAACCCCTAACCTGGAGGAAAAGGTTTTGAATTCAGTCCTTCTCCTAGAAGTTATCACACAAGGCTATAGAACCCGGTATTAGCACGTAAATGAATGTAATGGATTTGACTGGAATTTGAACTCGGGTCTCCGATTTATCAAGCTGAGCCGCTATCCATTACTCCACCGAAACTCGAAATACTATGAAAATACTCACAAAAGAGAAAAACCCTGTGCATTGTGCAACAACATGAGTCAGTTAATAATGAGGTTATATAAAGGTAGTAAATATCAAGAGGAAACCAAGAACGGTCTGCCTAGTAATTGAAATTGTGTATTTCTCATTGGTACTTGGGGTCGGTGTTCGAATTAAGTTTAAAAGCAATTCCATCTTATTCTGTTTCCTTTCTCATTTAGCATTATGAAAAATCATACACAAAGAATTTGATAGATGAAATAGCAATCTGTTTCCTTTCGGTGCCAACGGACAGGGTTCGAACTCGGTTATGGCAAGATCTAGCATACTGATTTTTCTCATTGGCAGGCCCTGTTTGTTTGCAAAACTGGCGCTAAACTATCTTCCTATTCTAATTTTACTATTCAACATTCCTATTTCGTTCTTTTTACCACCTTGTTTTGCTTAATAGACATCAAAATTTGGATACACAAACATGTTTTACATGCACAATGCTCTACGTCATGCATTGGTGAAAATTTACATTTTTCTAACCTTTTAAAAGAAAACTAAAGAAAGGACTGATAGAAATATTCCCTCTATTAATGTTCAGGGTGTTTCACATAATATATATATAAAATATAATAGAGAACATTTCACTCTTATAATGTGGCAACAGTTTTATGCATTTTACCGAATTTTCCAAGTTTCATTATTGTTAGCCATGTGACTGAAAACTCATTTTAAAAAGTGTTATGATTTCTGAACGAATATTTGAACAGTTTCAGTTTTTCTTATTAAATTGCGAAATGAAAGTTATCTTGAACGTCCACTCTTCTACATCATTTTTCATTCCCAAGAGCTCTACACTTGAACCTGCACCCTTGTTCAAATTAATTGAAACAAAACTAATAATTCCGTTATTATTTACTTTTTTCGCATTTTTCCAATGAAACATGACCCAGTGCACATGTTAGTACTTTGTGTGTCCATTCCACAAAGTCTTTTCTTGCAGATTGACCACAGATACTCGATTGAATTTAAATAAGTAGAATTTCCAGGTCAGTCTATAGTATTTTGATTTTCTCACTGTTAAGGGTTGCCAGAGTCTTCGTGCAGCGTTACAAGTTTTGTACGCTTCCTTGGAATAACGTCTATCACAGACAATGGCTATAGGACAACTAATCGGCAGTCGAGACAAAAGTGTCTGGGAGTGATAAAAATCTGATGCAATTACAGATGGCGCAATATTTTTCAAGGACGAACAAATTTCATCATACACCTCAAAAATAGATTCATATTACTGAAAATGACCTAATCTGAGGAAAAAATAGAAATCCATTACACCCTGTCACTCCAAATCGGTATCTATGCTGATAACACATCTATTTACTCCTAACTTAATAATAATTTAAAAGTTAAATTAGCAACTAATCTCAAATGACCTAAAACCTACTGTTAACTGAGGCGGTGGATGACCTGTTAATTTTAACGCCTACAAAATGGAACAGCACTCGATTAATCGTCTGAGTGAACCCTTTTTACCTTCCATTAGTATGGCTGATGCTAACCTCCAGTTGTGTATCTTCTCGGGCTAACGTTTTATGCTGACATGAAGTGGAAAGATTATATTGAATCAAATGCTAGTTCTGCTGCTAGGAATGTTGGCTCCCTGTGTCGCGCTAGACAATTTTTCTCGTCTAAATCTATCTTACATATTTATAAGTCTACCATTTGTCCATACATTGAATAGTATTGCCACATATGGTTTAATGTTCCTTCTATATATTTAGAGGTCCTTGATAAAATCGAAAGAAAAATCTGCAATGTCATTAGTCTTGACCTGGCATCTCAGCTTCAGTCATTTTCTCACCGATGTGATGTCTCATTCCGTGTGCCTTTTCTATAATTACTTTCATAGTAATAGATCTGATGATCTTTACTCTATAATACGTAGACTTTCTGAATTTAAGCGCAGTTCGAGATTAGTGGCAAGGCCATATAATTTTAATGTTGAAATGGCTAGATGTAACTGTAAATTTTATGCTAACAACTTCTGTTCTCGTACTTCTCACTTGTGAAATTCTCTTCCGTATTTTTGCTTTCCAGTCAAGTTTGATCTTCAAAATTTTAAATGCAATGTCAATCATTATCTACTGTCTTAATTCCTGTTCTTTTTTTTTGTTCTCCCTCGTTAATAATGTTTTCCTTTTTCTTATATTCTTTTACACTCAGTAACCCCCCGTGCGTCTTAGTGGCATTATTGCCTTGCTCTTGGTGAAACGATTGAAAAAATAAATAAAAATTATTACTACAGAACATCCGCAAATTACACAAACACAACTATTTTGAAGAAAACATTAAAACAATTTTATATGACGACAAAATTATAAAGACGATAATAAGATGGAATTTATGCTTTATGTTCTGAAATTAGTTTTAGAAGTTGTTCAGTCGTTGATTTTATGGTTTGTTGTAATTCTTAATAAGAAACCTCGCAGATAATTTAGAATAAAATTCCAATGTTCGGCTTTACCGATAAATTGCCCCCCCCCTAACTCCCCGATGTAAACCTTCCTCTTCTGAACGCTTCGTGGTAGGTTTAAAATCGGGCCAACAAGATGGCCACTTCATCAAAAAAACCATTTAAGACATCTATTTTAACTGAATTTGATGGAGAATTGTTGTAATTAACAATGATTCCATTTATAAAATAGATTCGATTTTTCTTGAATCATGGTCTCTTGGGTACCTTAAAAATCAATTTTTGTCTGAGCTATCATATTAAGACTATATTGAACCTGCCATGGACCCAACACATATGATAACACCACGTCCATCTTTTTGGCCGTTCAACATGTGAGGGTAGTTTTCGCCGTTAGCTAACCAGCTTTTACTTTATCCAGAATGTCGATCGATGGTGAAAAGAATAGATTGAAAATTGGTCTTCATGTATTCTGTTGCTTATTTGTTTTGATACACTTTATAAATATATTCTAAAGGAGGCCTTTTGCTTTAGGATCAGAGACCTTGTGCCTTTCGATACTCTCAGTCTATCGCAATGTCTGAATAATTCACAGCTTGACAAAGATGGATCTTTGGGGATTTTTCTCTTGATACGTGATCAAGAGCCGAATGATAGAAACCACCCACCAAATTTGCCATTATCAGACTCTGCATCGAACTCGTTCCGTATCTTGAACGAACTTCACGGTTCGATAGTAGCCGTCGTTCATCTTCACATTTTCCAGAATTGTTTTATCTTTTGCAAGTCCTGAAGTTATCAAATATTTGCATTTTGTCAGCCAAATCCGTTTTAACGACGCATTTTAAATCTTCAAACACGCAAAGTGTTTATTGTTGGTTTCAATCTCATCTAGGAATGAGGATTCATTGTGACGTTAAAGCCAATTGTAGCACAAGGTCAAAGGGCAAGTGGGGTAAAGCTGGTCAAGACTAATTATCTTAGACCTAGCGAGTCAGATTCATGACCCATTCATCCATTACAATTTGTTCATTCACCACAAGAACTGACCAATCACCATTCGATCCTATATAGCATAATAACACATATTCACAGAGAACCTGCAGAAACCCCATGGCGTAAAATTTTCACCAGTTCAAAAAATGTCTCGTTTTTTTTTCTTTTTCTTTTTTCTTATGAAAATATAGAAAACTATAATGATCATGAAATGATGGGGGGAGGGGGTGAACCCCAAAACAAAGCTAAAATATAACAGCAAAAACAATGATTGCAAAACTCTTTCCCCTTCCCGATTTATCTGCAGAAACGCACAAATGCATGCTGGGATTTCTTACTCGCCAATAAAATAGGCCGGTTCTCGATTTCATCCGACTCAGTCCTGATCTGTCTTGTCTTGACATCAGAACGCTACGTCCGTTTTTCCGAATTCGCTCTTGTTTGTCAACCCCCATTCTTAATTGATTTTTGCCATATTACTGTTGCTTTGCCTTATTACTCTTAATTTGCCTTGTATATATTGTTTGCTTGCGTTCTGTTATTTTTGCCCTGTTCTTTTCTTTTTCTTCTTATTGTTTATTGCAATGTTCGTCAATTCTGTTTGTTGGGCAATTCTGCCATTAATTTACATTTAACCATGGCCACTTCGTAAATCAGAAAAATAATAGAAATGGGTGCCATTTGTTTAGATCTGCGTAGAATGAACCGGCTTCTATCCGAACGGTACAGATAAAAAAAAAGGAGTCAGCCGTAGTCGGGGAACACCGAGTCAACACGAACGAACTTTTCCTTTGCATAGCACATACTTCGCCAGGGCAACATACAAATATTATTTATCTATATAACCAGAGTGAATGGTTGAATGAGAACCAAACAATAATTCTTCACTTAACCTGTATTGATTATCAAAAGTCGGATAAGATTACAGATTAAAAAAGCTGATCACAACTTCATCTGTTCTTGTTTAATGAAGCCCAACCTGTGCAGCCACCAAATGCTACTATTATTCAAATGATTACAATTATTATTCAATAA